TTTCACAAATAGATTTGATCTCTTCCTGACATTTGTGGTAGATACACTAACCAATATTTTTAAGATGTAATCAAAGGATGGGAAGGTATTTGAAATAACGAGAGTAGCATTTATCATAAAACAATAATTGATTGCACTATTTCATGAATTTGCTATTTGTTCTCATCGACCATGGACAGTAGATTCTGGCGCTACACACATAACACGTATCTCTTTGAAGCTGATACCATCATGCATATATTTTCTGCTAGTTTATCACTTGAGTTTTTCTGTATCACCGTATACATTTTCCACCTCTTCCTTATGGCAAGGGTCCATAGCTCCTCCAATTTTATCCTTCCTAGTGTTCAGGATATTGCTCTAGGCAAAAATCTCTACTTCATGACTATTGTGAACTGTAAAAAAAAAAAAAATGCTGTGAATTTTTGTGTGAAAAATCAGGAAAATAAGTTTGAGGTCTAATTTCACTTGGATCAGACTCTGTGTGAGTCACAGATTCCATAAATACCACATGGAAAGTACAGCTGACTCCGGCCTCCCTCACCTTCCAGGCTAATGGAAGAGCAAAGTGAGATCATAGATGGGAATGCTGTTTGAAGTCAAGCTTTTTATAACCCACATGCTGGCTGCTACTTTCATGGGTCTGGTTGGGTTTCTTAGAACCTGTTGGGGTAGGTGTCTCTCTGTTTCTGTTTTTATAGTGATTAATTGTCTACTACAGAATCCCCAAAGGGAGAGACCCTCTAGGCAACTCCTGGTGCTGAAGTAGACTACACAGTGTTGTACAGATGCATTAAGGGCATAGGAGATGGACAGTTATTGGAATGGCCTCCCTTCTTCTTACTGCACATTTCAATCCTATTTGCCCTTTGAAACCATTCCAAGAGCATCCTCTATAAAACTTCCTCTGAGAATCAAGACCACAAGACTATTTGAACAAAGCTGGTCATATAGTAGATTGGTTTGATTGAATGACTGCTTGACTGCAAGGAATTAAATTAATAAAGGTCTAATTCTCAAGAGATTTCTGGAGGATATGTCACTATATACTTCTTGCTTGAATTATCACTAATAATTCGTGGTTACACTAAAGGCAGGAAAATATTTTAAGATATGCAAAGCTATTTATTTAAACTTGAAAATACATTTTCATCTTGCCTGTTTAGCCCTACTTTTATTCCCAAATGCAGTTAAAAAAAAAAAAAAATCCACCAAAAAGTCATCTGTACAACTGTTGCCACCTATAGGTGACAAACGTAGTATATTAATTTTATCATAATTCTGATGAAGCACAACACAGGAAGGAACTGGCGATGTTTTATGGAACTTACATAATTCTCATCAAACACTGATCTTCACTAGGTCAATCATTACTGTTTTTGTTCTGTAATTGCTATTTCAGATGCTTTCCTTAAAGATGATATTGGCTAATATTCACAAGGTAGTTTTCCAGGATAAAAGTTGAGAACTTGATCTCTGCAGGCAGATTGCCTATATCTATTCCAAAGTCTATCCCATACTACTGCAGGACCTTAAACAAGTAACATATTCCTAAGCCTTGATTGCCTGTAAATGAAGATACTAATGGCACCTACCCCATAGAATATATGTGAGGATGGAAACAGATAATCTATGCAGTGTGCTTAGCAGAATGTCTGCACAGAACACACACTGTTAAATGGTAACGGTTATTACCATGATTAGTTTGCAAAGCACTTTCACATATAGTTGCTGCAAACTAATGTGCACTATTTTGTTATCATTTGCCAGATAGATCATTAACACATTGTTGTTTCACCTCAATCCCTCCTTATATGTTAAATGTAAATGTTATTCAACTACAGAATTTTAAAAATAGATAAAATCTGAGATCTGCCGAGCCAATGTTCAGGTTCGGTATGCCCCTATAGGCAGAAAAGTAAGCCACTTTAGTGCTTTTATTAGTTGGCAGAACCACGTGAGAAGCCCAAACCCAGAGTTAAGATGCTTCTGGTGCTAGGGGAAGTTTCCATTAAGAAAATAATGATGATTTAGCGTTGGACTAGGCCTTCAAAAAGAAAGCTGGGGGAAGGGGAATGGGGGAGTGGAGGAGGCAAGATAGGACACTGTTAAAAAAAAAAAAAGGATAAAACAACATTTCTTGTTGTTGTATTTTGTTATTGTTTTCTTCAAATGTGAGCCCATAATTAAAAATCAGTGAGTTTTAAATATAAGCAAATATTGATCTACATGTATGTCCTCACCTCTGAAATCAAAAGATCTGCACCCACATTTCTGCACAGCTAGATCTAAGCTAGATCTAAGTAGCTTCTACTGCTTTTAGATCAGCACATGCTCCTGAGCTGACTGCAGCCCTCACCACTCCTTAGAGCTGCTCTGCCTGGAGACTGAATGCCAGCTGGCCCTTATGGTCACTTTTGCATGGATGTTGTTTTTATAGTAAGGTAACATGTCTACACTCACCTTTCATCCAAACTATAAAAATAAAAAGAAGCCTGAGAGGGTCATGTTTTTTGCTTTTTTTTTAAATAATGGTCTCTTCTTTCATTTCTATAACCTCCCTGGTCAGTGTAGGCCTTTGTTATAATTAACTCAAGCAACAAATCTGCAAGCCTGAAACATTTAAAAACCTGATGACAGTGAGTGTTTTAATGGCAATTAACTCTTTCCAAATTTCCACCATTTCACAATGAATTATACTTTTCACCTGTTTATCTTCCCTCCAGGGATCATGTTCTTCTAGAGCATCGGGTCGCCAATTTCAGTAATTAGAATCACCTGGTAAGCTTGTTAAAAACTGATTGCTGACCCTCAGTTTCTGATGTAGTAGGTCTAGATGGGATCCAAGAAGTTGCATTTCTAGCAAGTTCCTTGGTGATGTTGATGTTGCTGGTCTGGGGAACACACTTTGAGAACCACCATTCTAGAATAAGAGCCCAGCCTTACATTTATTGAGCACCTATTACTGTCTGCCAGAGCCTTGAGGTTCTTTATTTCTAATACTTACTGCAATCCTGAAATAAAGATGTGTCTTATCACCATTTTACACCTGAAGAAGGAGGCTTGTAGCGCTCGGCCCATGAAACGGCCAAGCTGAAATTGAAGCTCCGCCTGTCTGCCCCCAGGGCCTCAGCGATCCCCTGCAGGCACAATTTTATTCAGCTGTGTATCCTCAGTACCAAAAGCTTCAGTCTACCTTGCAGTAGTTCTTAGTGTGTGTTGAATAAACTTGAGATCCACATAGATGAGAAATAGTCGAGAAAAATACTTGTGGTTCTTAAAAAGAGAGAAAATTGCACTGAATGCCCTTTAATTACCTACATTTGGTAAATGTAGGCAAATTGGCACAGTATTAAAAGGGGCTCTTGGATGGAGTTATTTCTAATTATGGAGCCACTTTTCTGTAATCAGCTAGGAGTCTGTTCCTTAGCCCGCCTCTGGTTTCAGGGTAGCTGTTTGAGATTGAAAATTAGCTCCGTGAGTAATGCTTCTGCACGTTAATAGTTTAATGAAATAAGCACTAGATCTAGGATGACTTTTAAATATTCCCATAGAATTATACCATTTCCTATAGCAGAGAAATTTTGCCCATGTCTGCTCTTGGGACACAGAAGCCACTTCCATCTCTCTCCTCTCTGTTAAATATTTAGCATGTGAGAATCCATAGGCTTTGGCTGTATCTATTCTCCCCAATCAAAACACAGTATCCTCATTGCAACCCTGTAAGTCCAGCCTAACAATGTTGGGGGTAGGAGCTTGGTGCACAGCGGAACTGCACATGTTAGAGAAGGTTTGGCAAGTTGTTTAAATGGAATTTTTGGGTAACAAAATGAAAAACAGGACATTTTGTCCTTCATTACATAAGAACATGGTTTAGTGGAAAGAATAAGAACATGTAGGCAGCCAGCCAGAAATTCAAATCCTGATCTCTGCCACTTGCTGGGCAACCTTGGGCAAATATCTCTGTCACTCTGAGCCTTGTATTGCTTGTCTTTAAAATGGAGACGTTTACTTTGCAGGTTTGTGAAAAAGCTGCTCGCATCTGTTAAGTGTCTTTTACCTAGCGGATGCTTAATGAATGGTAGCACTTATTATCATCTCTAAGCCCCTGGGCCTGCTTCTTTCTTGTGTTTGGATGGAATATTTGCTGGAAAGAGGAAAAGAAGATGAGAAACATTGTAGACACTTTTACACCTCTGTTCTTCTCGTTGTTTTTGGCATCTGCGCCTCCCTCCTTAGCCCTTAGGAACCAACTGAGCAACAGAATATATTCACATTTACAGGGTTTACCTATGATAATTGTTGAATTTGGTTGCAGTGTTTTATAACGTCTTACAGGGTGTTAATAACAGTAATATCCCTGTATAAACTGGTATTACTAGGCCTTCTTGAGCAGAGTGGTTACTCAGCTGTACACCTGTCACTTTGATTTTTAAGCCCCTGGGCCTTCTGGAATCTATACCCAAAAAGCTGGAGATCTCTTCCAAATGTCTTAAGTCCCATAAAGGGACAAAATACAAAAATGGCAACGCTTCTAATAAGCTCAACATGTATTCAAAAATGGCAAGTTAAGGGATTTTTATGTCTTTTTAAAATATATATGTATTACCATAACTTCTGGCTGAAATTCAATCCCTACTCTTATTTAGAAAAAGTGCAACTAATACTTAGCAAGCAAAGAGAGGAGTTTGAAACTTTGATGAAGAAAAATATGGCACTTTACCTGAACAAATTTCAAATGGATCCATTTAAAATGAAATTAAGTGGCACTTAACTGGTTTGCAAATTGGGACCTGTTTATCTCAGTGAAATGATTAAAGTCCTGATTTATCCCTAAAATTTGCTTTATTATTACATTTAATTATACTAGAAGATTGTTAAAGACTTGTAGGTTTTCTCCCTTTAAACTGTACTTTATATAGACAATAATTGAATATTGGATAGGATAACTTGATTTTCCAAAGAAATATGTTTCTAATATTTTCTTCTTTTTATTGCAGAAATTGAAACAACTTGAAGAAACAAAAGACGATCCTGAGAATAGATTATCGAAAATTTCCCTGGAGTCATTCAATAAATTTAACAGCAATACTGTGATTTTATCAGAAAAAGAAAAGAACTCTCTGAACAAGGTTGAAGGACGAAAGGAAGAAAAAGAAAAAAATGAAGAGACATCTTTGAGTAGTTCAGATAGGCCTGGGGTAGACAACTTGGAATCTCTGAGTGATTCTTTATATGATAGCTTCTCTTCCTGTGCCAGTCAAGGTTCAAATGATGTATAAAGGACTTTTCTTCCCTTAGTGAGCTAGGACTGGAGAGCTTAAGAAATGACGGGGGCGGGTGGGGGGTGAGCCACTCTGTAGAGATGACAACAATATACTGTTGCAGTACCAGAGCCTTCATTGTCAGATTCACAGCAGGCAACCCACCAGAGCTCATGCTCTGACAGGGCAATAAAGATAGACTCCATTTACTGTGTTTCAAGAGGATTAAGCATAAACACACCTATGATACAGAATCCTTAATTTTGCACTTTTTTTGAATATTTGTACAGAAGTTGTAAATATTTTGGAAGAGAAATTATATTTGTAGCAAAAAAAGACAGCAATAAATGGAATCAGTGCCATGCTCTTGAAATAATATGCTAAATCTTAGAAGTTGATGATAATATATATTTTTTAAAATCCCAACTTAAGTTTTTGTGAAGTTCATTGTCCTAGTCCTCAAATTTTTTGTGGGTACACTCTGTAAACCTACAACAGGGCCTGCCAAAAAAAACAGAGGGTTCCTCTTCATCTCCATTTCATATCAATTTGATAGAAATATTCATTTTTAGTGCAATTTCAGATTCGTTGCCAGAGATTCAGGTGATAGGAACAGGTGTAATTCTGCTTCTGCTGAAAATGAAAAGGGTCCTGAAGTGTGGACACTGGGAGTGTGACATTGTATCAGAAATGACCGAATTCTATTTCCAATACCAATTTTTTTCCAGACATTTATTTAGATTGTCTTCTACTTAGTGCTTCTCTATGATCTTGAATATTATTTGATGTTTATCTTCTTGCTCTTTTTATTAAAATCTGGGCACTCTTAAAAAATGAAAGCAAATTTCTATTTGCAATGCTCACTTTTTAAAAATAAAATTATTGGTGCTACGAAGAATTCTTTTTAATATCCTTTTTTCTACGAAGACTGTTTATATGTAAGGATAAATTCTATTTTAAAGGTTATGTGTATTTTTTCTAGATGTGAACTATTTATAATTGCTTATGTACAGGAGCTTGTAAACTAGGCATAATAGAAATATTTTTAGGAGCTATATGGCTACTTTAGCACATAATTGTTTCTTTAAAAAGTATTGTATGATCAGTGTTATTTGGTTAATTTGTGCAATTTATTATATTTTATCTTAAATGAAAAGTATGTAAAATATCCTTGTCTTTCAGACTTTAAAAATCCTTTTGTTTCCTTTCTGAATAAAAGTTATATCACAATTGCACCCTCTGAATACTGAAAAGAGCTCGCTCAAGGACCTTTTGGCCCAGTTACTTGACTCCTGACTCACAGGTGCTCCTAGGATGGATTCCCCGAAGGAATAAATAAACTGGCCCTTTTGCTCTACAGATGGTAATTTAGCCAATTCTAAGATCAGAGTCAGCAGACAGGTGAGTAATGGTCAAAGCATTTCAGTCTTCCCAAGGGGTTCACCAAATAGAAATGAAGAGGGGAGAGAAAGAGCCTGAGGCGGATATGGAACGATCTCTGCAGAGGAATTGCAAAGAAAGTCATTTAAGCCCCCTCCAGACCAGCTCTGCTGGCAGGATGCAAAAATTAATGATCAGCGTCCTGGCCTGAGAGAGCTGCCCCCAGAGGTGGCCGCGGGAGAAAAGAGTGAAGAGGGGCAAAGCTTAGGAGGCGATATCCACTGAAATGGATGCTCCCTAAGGATGTGGGGAAGGGGGGTGGGCATGTGCGGATTGGGGGCGGGGGCACCAACGCGTTCCGGCGGACAATCGGTCTCCCGCACCACCTGCTGCAAGGCTCGGCAAGGAAGGCGAAAACAGAACTGGGGCATCCCGGTAAGTACGCCAGGTGGGTCTCTTGGACTTTGCAGAAAGAGGAGGAATTTGAGGGGTGTGGGGAGCAGCTCGAGGCCGAGTCCGAGGCTGGGATGGCCTTTCAGGAGAGGACGTGGGAATTTATACTAATAATCAGTGGCTTTGGGGAGCGTAGGATGGAGCTGGCCGGCGTTTTAGAGACCAGGAATGGAGGAGAGCAACCCTCTTTTCCACCCTTATTTGCTTTCTGGTGGGATCTCGCGGCAGGTGTCCCTGGGACGGCGTTCTCCTAGGCTAGGCGACCAGGGCGGTGTCAATGCACCCTCCAGCGGTGCGCGCAGGCGGGAGAAGCGGGAGGACGGCCCAGGGCAAGCGCGACAGTAAAGGCAGTGTCCCTACCACACCCCCACCCAGACCGGCCAAGCCGAGCTGGGTTTTGACGGAAAGCTTTCTCAGAGGAAGAGGAGGTGCGGTTGCACAGGACACTGTAGGGAGCCTGCGGGTGTGGAACTTTGCCAGGCGCACAGGAACGCACGCCCCTCCTGTCTGACAGCCTCCCGGGGCGCCAGGCTCCAGCGGCCCGCAGCCGGACACCTTCAGTTGTGTGGGCCGGACCCAGTCGCTAGGGTACCGGCCAGTCCTGGAAGGCGTAGAAGACGCGGAGCCGGGAGGGTGCGTTCCTATACGCGAAGGGCCAGCTGGCCGCGCAGTCCCCGGATCCCAGTTCGCACCCGGCAGGTCCCCACGGCACCTGCTGCGCCTTCCTTGCCGTTCCCCCAACCTCCAGCCTCCCCACCTCTGAAAACTGCCAGTCCTCTCCCACCCCCCGGCGCCCCTTTCCCTGGAACGTGCGGAGGCGGGAGAGGAGGAAGGCAGGAAGGGGGTGGGGATGGTCCCAGCCTTCTCCGCCCGCCGGCCGCCACCCCCACGCCAACTCGGCAGCCGTCACGTGGTGCCTGGAGTGGGAGGTGGGGAGAAAAGGCGAGACTTTTGTGGGTGCTCCGGATCGCCAGTAGTTCCTTCAGTCTCAGCCATCAACTCCGGAGGCGCGGCGCTCGGCCCGGGAGCACGAGCGGGAGGAGCGGAGACCCGCAGCCGGGAGCCCGAGCGCGGGCGATGCAGGAGCCGCGAGCGGCACCTGCGGCTCCTCTCAGCAAAGACCGTCGGCTTGGCGGCAGCAGCGCGGGCCCCAGCAGCATCGGCAGCCACAGCCGCTGTGGCCGGGGCAGCCTCCGCTGCGGTCGCCTTCTCTGATGCACCTGCCCGCTCCCGGCCCCGGGACTCCGAGAGAATGTGGGTCCTAGGCATCGCGGCAACTTTTTGCGGATTGTTCTTGCTTCCAGGTAAGAATATCCAGAGGCCAGCAGCCAGGGCCAGGTGCGCACAATCCATCTACCCGTCCGCTCTTTTGCCTCCAGGGCGCCCACCTCCGGGCTAGCCCTGCCCTGGGGCTGCCTAGCGGGAGTTGGGCGGTGGCGATTGGTGCCTCGGGGCTCGAGATTGGGGAAGTGTCCAAGTCCCGCGCTGCAGGAGGAGAGCGGGGAGCGGCGGGTTTGCGGGACTCCGGGCTGCGGCTGCTCGGGCTGCACGTTCGGGAGAAGCTGTGGGTTTGGGAGGGGGGAGGGTCCGAGCAGTGCTGGGGTCTCGGTTAGGGAGAGGGGGCGACATCTCCCGAACCCCGCCAAGTTGTCTGGGGCCTCCGGCACCCCGTGGGAGTGGCGCCGCCGACAGGTGAGCAGCGCGCTAGGCAGCCTGCAGCCGCGCCGAAGCTGAGTTGCTGCGCTCAAAGTGCGATAGACATGGGGCTGGGGGAGCTCGGGCAGTTGGGTCTAGAATGGAGCGCGTACAGCGAGAACAGCCAGGCGGAAGCGACCAGGGCGCAAATGTCTCGCGTCCTCTCACCAGTTCGCCTACTGGCTCCCGAACTAAGCTCTGCAGAGCTGGGACCCCGACCACCCGCCCTAGCCGAACGGTTGCCCTGAAAGCTAGGGCCTGGAAGAAGGGGCTGCGAGGTCGGGATCCAGGGTGCAGGCGCGCACAAACGTCCTCTCCCACCCTCTGTGGCCACCCGGGTCGCCGCGGGGACGGCTCTGGAGGAGAGCCGCCGACCCGTGCTCGGGGACTTGCGGCGCAGCAGCACTTGGCGTCTGGCGCCTCCACTCTTGTTCCCAGGTGGTCGCTCAGGGATCCTCAGAGCCCTGGTAGCAGAAACGCTGATTTTAAAAATTAAATAAATAAAAACCGAAACGACGTCTGCAAATGTAATCATGAATGGTGCCAAAATAGTAATTAAGTAATTTGTAACCAATTAGCAATTAGGCAAATCCTTTGGCTTAGGCTGGAGCTAACTCATGTCTCCAGAGCTACTTCGCTCTTCGGGTGGTACCGTCCCCCTACCCTCCCTTCAACTTCTTGGGGAAAGGCCTGGGGTGCTGTTGGATGGGCTTTTTGTGTTTAGAGCCGGGGTCCAGGGGTCGTGGGCACGATTCCACTTTCTCCTTTAGGACCCTAGGTACCCGCGCCGCCCCCTGCCGGCTTCAGCCACTTCAGGCCCTTCCCGGAGACCCAGAAGTGCAGAGCCCCAAGCCTCCCAGAGGCCAGGAGCTGCTGCGCTCTGCTCTGGGACTTGAGATGGTCGCGGTTTCCGGGGTGGGCTCTGTGGGGGCCGGATCTGAACCCGACTGCGTCTGTCTCGCAGGCCTTGCGCTGCAAATCCAGTGCTACCAGTGTGAGGAATTCCAGCTGAACAACGACTGCTCCTCCCCGGAGTTCATCGTCAACTGCACGGTGAACGTTCAAGACATGTGTCAGAAAGAAGTGATGGAGCAAAGTGCCGGTAGGAGCCTGGCAGCCCTCCCCCTCGCTCTTAAGCCTGGGCTGTGGGGTGGGAGTGAGGGGGCCATTAAGTAACAGGCAAAAGGATTGACTTTGATTTAATACCCACACACCGGTTATCGCAGATTTACTTTTACAGTGCTGGGAAAATGAAGAGTTCCAAGTTACTTTAATCTCATTAGAGTTAATTACCAGGGCTTTTCCCCAAGGGTCTTGGGAGGGGAAATGTCTTTAAATTAGTGGTTCTCCTCTTTTTATTTACTCCCTTCACCTCCCTATGCCAAAAGCTGTTGGATGTGGAAAATATATGGCTAACCAGCCTTGGCTTGGGCAACTAGACAGTAGCCTGTGAGCATTGTCAGCCTGAAATATGGAGCTAGTTGAAGTTCCCAGAGGTCAGAGCTTGAAAAATGTGTTTGGTCATAGAGGCACACCATATTTCCTTGAAGAACACTACAGGATCTTTATTTAATTTTAGAACTAATGCATCAACTTCCAGGCACAAATTGCCAAGATGTTTCAAAGGAATGTCGTTCTCAGCCCTACCAGCTTAGCTGCTGGCTGGCTGAGAAGAGGGCCTGAGCATCCTCTGAGGAAAGGAGGGGTCTTGTGGGATAGCCCTCACTCCCTCTAGTTGACCAAGAGTCTTCTCACGGAGGTAGAATTTTCCAACCCTCCCCCTACTCCCTACTCCAGCTGTCTGATCAGAAGTCAAAGTTCCCCCAAGTATAATTGGAACTTTGGGAGAATAGGTAGAGCTAGCTATTGCCTCAGTTCCAAGGTCAAAACCATAAACACAGACCTTGCCATTTTAAGGATATTGAAAAGATGGGAAATACCATAACTTGATGGCTGATAGTGAATGAACCAAAGCCCCCACTTCCCTTTAGTTCTGTGAACTGCCCGCAGAGCCTGGTGAAGTGATTAGAACTGTTACATGATTCCCCTTACCCACTGGCAAGTCAAAGCAAGGACTCTAGTTTTAAAGCCAGCACCTTGGGAAAGTCGTTTCTTCTCAGAGAAGGGCCTGGAAATGTGGTGTTGCTATCCTCATGGCTATTTGGAAAGCAGATGTTAGCGTGTCACTGTGCTGTGATGTGGTGTGTGTGCTGTTGTAAGGGCTGTTGTTTATAGGTATTATTTGTTGCACCAAAATCGCTCTTCTGGGAAGCCTTGAACATACTTGCTCTCAAGGGTAACTTGTCTGGAGAAATGCAGCAAGCATTATTTTGGCACATGGGATTTGAGCTATTAATAATATGAAACAAAACAAATGTAGTGACCGTTCTTTAGTTAAGATCGATAGGGATAATTTGAACAAATTCTTTTTTCCTGCTTGTGAGTTTCCTTCCTACATTTTATCTGAGCGAAAAATTTACTGCCCTTCTACCTATCAGAAGGACTGCCGTGATTTTAATCAGAATCACTGTTAACACTTTATTGTTATGTTCAAATATTTGCAGCTTTCTTGAGCCAGTAGTTTAGAGCCAGACAAAATGAGAATGTACTGTGGACACGTTGAGAACTTTGTTCAGAGTCCGCAAGGTCACTGCTTACCTGGGTGTCATGTTTTATCACCTGGGATATGGTTGGGAAGGGATGTAAGCTAAATTTGAGTCAGAAGAGGTCCTTCTTCTGAGAGACATTTCTTTTTCTCTAAAAGTGTGTCTAAGATGAGTACCGCACATTCCATTTTCAAAGTGCTGTTTTTCGTCTTGCTTCATTCTGTCCTTAAAAACACTCTGGAGAAGAAGCAGAGCAGGCATTTTAACTTGCATTTTACCCACAGGAACTTCAGCACAGACAGTCTTCAAGTGCCTGCCTAAGGTCGCTCATGTTCTGTAAGCTCAGACAAGGTGGGCACCTTGTCTCCAAGCTAGGTCGCTGTGGCCACAGGTCATAGGCCAACAGGTAGAGACAGAATCAAGTATAAGGCAGTTTCAGTTGTGAACTTTGACAAACAGAAGCAGCTGATGAACTCAAAAGTTATGAAGGGAAGGATGATAGGCCTGGGTCTGTGCACGTGGAAGCAAGGTATTCTAAGCCTAAACTCCATAGAAGCAAGCTAAGTGAATTTGTTTCTGCATCAAAAGAGCCATGTCCAGGAGAGTTCATACCTCCAAGGCACTTCCATTTTTATATCCATGCACTTACTAGAGACCAAATTAATTTTTTGCCAACAAGGATAGAGAGCAAACCTAAAACTTTAAGTGACCACAATTGTTGTGTAATCATCACAGTAACAAGAGCTAACTCTTATTGTGTGCCCGGGCATCTGGCTCTTTTCTGGGGGTTGTACATGTAGGATCTCACAAAATCTGGTGGTCCTCTTTCAAGATCTTGTTTGCTCATGCCACAGCCAGTCAGCATGTAATTCTATTACATGGTCAACATCTCCACTCCAGAGAAAGTAATGCCTGTTAAATGATGCTATTAAGAATTGAAGTCAGAATTTCTTTTAAGTTTGATCAGTAATATTTGTACTGAGAATCTCAGCACACTAGAGCTGAAAGAGCCCAGTAACTCCTAAAGATACATGTTAGAACCTTGCTGGGAGTTTTGTTCAGCTCCGCATGCCTGGATTCCCGCTTAAAGAAGCCCATCTGTAGTATATCTGGCCATGGGTCTTTTATAAACTTCCCAATGACTCTGGGATGACCCGAGTTGGGAACTGATATGAACAAACCTTTTTGTGTTTTAGTGGAAGAAAACAAGGTCCAGAAAAATTAGATGCTTGGTCCAAGTTCACCAGCCAATTGTTACTAAGAGGCACCTGAAGCCTGCTTCCCGGGGCAGCACCTTTGCAGTAATACCACACAGCCAGCATGTTGTAAAATATCCTGCCAGGTCTGCCTGAAAAGATAGCCTAGGCAAAGTTCAAAGGGTTTAGACCATTTTTCATATCCACCAAGTTCACCTAACAGTCCAGGTTGACAGGCCATGAAGTGGACGTCAAAAGAATCTGGGAAATAACTCATGAGATTTTTAAGTTTGAGTGCTATGCAGACTGGCATTTTTTATGGGTATAGAAAAACCAGGGCTTTAAATTGACTAAGAAAATTTAATGAACTAAGCCAGTCTGACATTAAGCAGTAATGAAAGGTGTTCTCCTTCCAAAAAAATACCGGCCGTGCAATATGCGTCAGCCTTCAGTTTTCTAGACTAAGTCTGCAAACTCAGCTCTTACGAATTTCGAGGCATGTACATTTAATTTTCAATTGGGAAGTACATTTAAAATTGACCTTTACCTATTCCCCAGAGTGACATTCCTATTAGGTGCTGAGATTATTATCCACCACTCTTTTTCCCTTTGGTCATTTTTGGAATAATAAGGCGCTGGCTGTGGGGAAGGGAAGGTTGGCTTCAGCTTCTTTCATTGTCCTTACTAATTGATATTTAAATGTTTGCATAACGAATGACTTGTTCTCACCAGCTCTGCACTTAATGAGTTGCTGTCTGTTTACCAGCACCCTTGATAATGACACTTCTTTTGCTCGTGCTTGTCATTGCATTCTGCAAAATATTTGAAATATTGATTTTCATTTCAGAATAGAAGCCCCCTCCGGTATGAATTTTTAAACCAGGGAATAAAGAATGTGAATTTGCATTTGTTTGACAGTGCAATCTTGTAATTAGAGTTTTTCCTCTTGACTAGATACAGTGAAAGGGGCATAATTTAATTTTTATAGACTAACCAATTTCTGCCCTTAGTAAAATATAGCTCTGTCAGTGAGCAAAATGTTACAGGTTCTCCTAAACCTTATTTAAAAGTTAAATGCAGTATATTGAGAGAAAGTTCATGGTCTGAATCAGTAACCTAATCGATCTCTTCACCCATCCTTTGCAACATGCATTAATCTATTTGTCTGTTTTGCAATACAAGAGTTACTGATTTATATGCCATGTTGCATCTACATTATGGCTGTGTAAGTAATGGCTGTTTTCCTTTTGGATTAGTTAGTTGCTCATTAAGTTGGGAAGGGATGGCTTCATATCTTGCCTAGTTTAGTCTTATACCTTATTTTCTCATGAGCTAACTAAGGGATGGCGAGGACTAGATGTCACAAAAATGCTTGGTCATCCACTCTTAGTAGAAAGAATTGGAAAGTTAACCACACCTTGTGTTTTCTGAAGTCTATGCCTGCTTAATTTCCCTAAGATTTAAAATAAAAGACTCTATTTTGGCCTTGGGATGGTCTTGGTAGGAATGAGGCCCAGTGCTTCTCCTGAGTTTTATGTCATATCCCCTTTATTCCTCTATTGTTTTATTTCAGATGAGTGCATGCACTCAAGCTCAAGTGCCTGTGTGCGCGCGCGTACACACACACACACACACACACACACACACACACACATATGCATATATTTGTGTGTGGATATACCTTTCCATTTTTACCTGTATATATTTGCATACACCCACATATGCAATGCTTGTAAGGAAAATGAAAATATTGAGTCATCCTTTACAGATAGAGATCACAAACTGTTTAATCCATGCTATGTTGTAGGCATGAAGAATATTTCTAAGATTTTTCCCCCCAGAACGACTTTGTTAGAAGTAGCAGGGGTCTCTGTTAATCTTCCAGTGTCCTCCATTTGCCCCTGTCTTTCATCCTCCCACCAGGCCTCTCCTGTTAGCTTCCTTTTAGACATTCTATCTGCAGTCCTTAATTTCTCACTCTTAACCTCATTTTGAATTGATCAGAAGGGCTATGGAATATGCTCTATGAGTAAAGTGAAAAAAACAAAACTCCACATTCTATCTTTGACAAAGGAGACTTCAACAGGTTACAGAACTTTAAAGTAAGGCCAGGCACAGTGGCTCATGCCTATAATCCTAGCACTTTGGGAAATTGAGGCAGGCAGATCACCTGAGGTCGGGAGTTTGAGTCCAGCCTGGCCAACATGGTGAAACCCCATCTCTACTAAAAATACAAAAAAAATTAGCTGGGTGTGGTGGCACATGCCTGTAATCCTAGATACTCAGGAAGCTGAGATAAG